AAAGAGAAAAAAAAAAGAATAATGAAATTTGATTGCCAACATTACATGTTGGAAAAACAGAAAAACAATGCAGAAACATAACACAATTGTGATTGAATACAATAGCTTAAGATAACTTTAGAGGTTTAAACAAATGGTGATTCTATATAGTAGCTATTAGTGAAAACAAAAAAAAAAAAACAAAAACAAAAACAAAATAATAATAATAATAATAATAATAATAATAATAATAATAAATTGATTGCTATTATTGAAACTTGGTTGATAGTAAGTGGTTATTATCGAATCTTGGTTGCAATTTAGTGAAAAAAACAAAAACTAATTATACCTTTTTATATCAGGTATAAACATGAAAAGCATTACACTATATTGCTATTTAGTCTAAAACTAGGAAAGATTCCCGCTTTGCGGGATTGGATACACGATAGAAATACACAAAAGGGGAACATTTTGTCTTATCTTGTATTCACCCTTTTTTTGACTGAAACTTGTATTTCACCATTTGTAAAAATGTTCATATTATTCATACCCATGCAACTATGCAAGTACAATTTACAAAACATATGAAAAAGAAAGACTAACAATCCAACCTGTAATGCATGCTACACAAAAATTATCATTAATAGTCATCCATCACGATTACATTAGTTTGTTCTTTTGCAACCTATACATCACTTTGTTGGATCAAGTACGGACAAATCATGAAAAAATTTCATCCAATATGACAAAAGTCAGATCTCACAATTTCGATAACACACCACAACAATCCAAAATTCCTATTTGAAGAATAATAAAGTTAAGTTCCATGGCAAAAAAAAAAGTAACCAGAACTTTGAAGTCTGTAACCAGAACTTTGAAGTCTGTGTTTCTTGTGTAGAAAGGGAAATATGGGGTCTGAGGAATCTGAAGATGGAAGCCTTTTTTTAAAAGAGTTTGCAGTTGTAGGCAGAAAGAGATGGAACATTGTAGTTGTTTAACCAACATATGCAGAGCCAGTGGATGCAAAACGTAAAGTATCATTCTTCTTACCTGTTTAACCAAATACCCAGAATCATAGGTCAGTCATATACTCTATTCCTAGTCTGATCTGTAAACCGATTGATTAAACAGTTAAGTAAATTCAATATTGAGCAAGAGTGTGTGAGACCTACACTTTATACTACAGTCAATATATAGATATTTACCCTTAACAATATGACCAGGTGTGCATCAGCCTTAGAGTTCTACTTAATTCAATATTGACATATTTACCCTAAACCAAAAATGGCATCAAGCATCAGTTATAACTTCAAACTCCTGTGGCAATATTATGTTAAACAGAAGTTAGCAAACAAATCGTGTTGCAGTAAATTATATACTTATTCATGCAACAATATGAAAAAGACTATTAGGCACAATCGTGTTGCAGTAAACTATTAGGCACAATCTTATGACAAACATAAATTCAAACGACAAAAAAGCTAAGACACACTAACATGACCATCATCCACAAGCATCCAAAACTAAACAACAACAAACATCACAACATATTTATAGGAAAAAAGACTAAAATACCCCTCGATCACAAAAGCTTGGCTTAAAGCTTCTTCCATATGCAAATATGGATTTTCAATCCTTAAAAATGATGAAAGGGATTTACAAAAAAAGAATCATTTTAACCACAATAACAAAACATATTTCTAGAAAATCACGGCGTACCCTGGTGGGCTGGTCTTCGCTTCTCCTCTCTCCATAATCGACGTGTCATCCACGAACGGTGATGTGGTGACCCTCAAATCGACATCACCTTCAAATCGTCTCTAGTATTGCAGGAATTAGAGAGAGGATAGACACAACCGCTGACCGAGTGGACACCCTCGAATTACCTGCTGCTTGAAGGAGGTATATTCGTTGTTGCTGCTTCTCTTTTCCGTCTCCAGTCGGAATCAGCGACGTGGTGCGAGAGGGATAGAGAAAGGTGAAGATCGACAGGTAAATCAAAGGCAAATCGAACCTGCCCAAAAGGAACAATCGGGAAAAAAAATGAGAGGTGATAGGGGGAAACCACCAAAATCGATGGAAAAAACATGGTTGGAGGACGGTAGATTCCTCCTACGTCCATAATTACATTCAAAGTACATAATTATCAAAGGCTAATTTCAAGATAAAAGAACAGATTGCTTTACATGTGAAATAGTAGGCTCAGAGAGGAACTCATCGGAATGGAGACCATAGTCTTTGAGAAAGTCCCTAATCTCTTACGTGGAATTGGGTGATTCTGAAATCAAAACACAAGAAAAAAACAAATTAATCAGTTAAAGGTTAAGAATTTAAGAAACATATTTTGAGAAACTTACTGAGTAAGTGTCCAGGTGAATTTACAGGTAGAAAAACAACAAACGATAGAGCTTTATTGTAAAAACTCAAAAGCATATGCAGTAGAGAGCGGAGATGGAGACACGGGGAAGCATGGAGAAGCATCGACTCCAATAGGGGAGAGAGGCGGTTGCTTTTGATCGAAGTCGACAAAAGTATTAGGAGGGGGAGACAGAAAATCAAGGGTTTATGAACGAAACAAAATGAGGTAGCCTCTTCTGTTGGCGGTGGGAAACAGGTAAAACAGGGAGAGGAAAACATGTGGAGGGATAAACACATGAAAAAAGAACGCGTGTCCAAACACGTACACGTATCCAACGTAATCGATTTAGACACCGATTAAATCAGACACAATAAATCAAACACTGATTATTAAAAAAAAATGGAAGGGTCCAATCACAACCAAGTCCTGTTCACCAGGCACTTGTAAATTAGTATATATATATATATATAACTACAGGTCCAAAATTCACCGACATTAAATCCTTTTTTAAAATCAATTCTATTGTCTAACGGTGAAAAAGAAAATTAATAATGTTCTTTTCAAAATTCTATTTTCATGTCATTTATTATTTTATTTTGATAAATTCCATGTCCGCTAAAAAACCGGTAAACAGCTAATAAACCAGAAACAAACTTTAATATGTCAAAAATGGTTTTTTTTAAAGAAATTGAAAATATGATTGGTTTTTCTTAAAAATAAAGCTGTTGTTTAGATAAAATATTAAATTTAGTGGTTTTTGTTGATGTTTCCCTTTTTACTTATTCAAATTTTTGTTAAAATATAGACTATATATCCTTTTTTTATTGTATTATATGAAAGTAAAATTTATTATTTAAGCCATTGAAATCGATGTGTTATTATATGTAGTAAATTATTTGCTCAACAAAAAGCTAATCGAGAAACTAATTTCTGAAAGATATTATTCGCACCCGTCGCTTAGCGTGGATAAACAACGAGTATATATATATATATATATATATATATATATATATATATATATATATATATATATATGGTAGAGGTTAATTTGACACCATATTAAATCGTGAGACAATGGGAAGCCATCATAGCAAATCATTTTAGAGATCAAAAAATTAAAAAAAAAAACTATAAATTGAAAAATAAAAGGAAAAATCTAAAAATTATTTTATTAAATATTATTTTCGTTATCTAATTTATGCAAAAAAATAAAAAAATAAAATAAAACATAAAAAATAAAAAATCATTGTTATTTTCGAAATATAAGTGAAATATTCTAAAAAAAGATTATACTATAAAATAATTAAATCGAATTTTTAGAATGTTAGAATATTCTAATATTCGACTAAAATTGGTAGATATGTTAAAATATTTTAATATTCTACTTAAATTGTTAGATTTGTTAGATTATTTTCATATTCTAATAATTTTTTTTAATATATACAGTTTAAAATTCTAGTAGAATATTCTAATATTCTATAAGTTCGATTTGAATATTTACAGTATACTATTATATTACAATATTTCACGTATATTTTGAAAAAACCATAACATTTTTTTTTTGATAAAATAAATTACCAAAACAATATTAAAAAAAAATTCAAAATTTTTTATTTATTTTTCATTTTAAAAATATTTTTTTTATCTCAAAAATGAATGGTTAGGATGGAGTCCCTATGTATCACAAAATATGAGGGTCTCACATGAACTTAACTATATATAAATATATATATATATATATCTATATATATATATATATATTATATATAATATAATATATATATATATATATGTGTGATCCGTTGAGTATTCATAGTTGAACATGGAACAGAATCCGAACATTATATAGGCCATAATTGAAGATCGTGTGTTATGGAGAAGTGGGGGTTGAAGATGTAGTGGGATACATGGGTGCAGTTCTTGAATAAAACTGATTTGCAGTTATTGAGAGAGTGGAGTCATGTTGCCATCTTGCGCAAGGAAGCCGGAGAAGAGGTGGATAGGAAACCATCGGTAGTCTGTTGTGAGAGACAAGAAACCATAAATACCGACTTATTGCGGCCCAAATTAAAAGTTGAAGAAATTGAAGGGATGAAATCATCCAAACGATTTTTCACTCATCATCATCAATAATATAAATAATAAGTGGGATCAAATGAAACATGTACGGTATAGCATAAATACTTTTAATGGACCAAAAAGCATTGAAAAGTTTCGGGGGCCATGTCAATAAAAAACAACAAATCAAAAATATAATTTAAATATATTTTGTATTTATTCCTTCATTTCATTTTTATTGTTTAAGCTTTTGATCACACCAATCATATAAGCTATACGTGTTGGTTTCAGAGTCCTATTCTATATGTTTAAAGTAAGTTGGTTGAATTATGATATACCAAAATACTTGATTAAAAAATAAATCTTAACTCATTAAACAGCTTCATGTGGCTAATTGAAATTTGTTTGGAACGATGCTTTTGGAGATGTAGAATATACTTTATAATTAACTTGTTATACGATTGATAGCACATATTTTTTCTTAGAAAGAATACATATAAATAAATATGACTTGAAACAATCGTGGATATATTGATTAAAGGAGAACAATGATCTTAGTTGTTTGCTCGATCTCTTATTATTCTAAAAGTTGCATTAATTTGCCTTAAATTCCACCTCCAGGTATGGCACCAACACCAGCTCCTCCTCCTCCTCCATTGTTAAGCTCAAAATTTGTCCTTTCTCTAGTATCACCCATGAACCCTCCTGTAGGCGTTACTATATCCCTGACATTGAGCCCTTGAAGGATTCCCTGCAATCGTTGAAGAATTTTCTCTAAGAACTGAAACGTAGATATCAGTCCCATATTACCAACATCCTCAACATTGTCCACATTAGTAATGACGTTACTCAACAAGATAAGAAGTTGTCTAACAGTATTAAGCAAGTTAGGAATTACAACGGATGTCTTCTCCTCGCTAACAAGCCTTCTACTACATACATTGTCGGTTGTGCAAATTAAAAACAAAAAAAATACATGAACAAAAGGCTTAACAATCGTCATATAGGCTTTAGAGAATGTTGGATAAAGTGATAATAAAATAACATGTATATATAGGGATTTAAGTAGACACTAATTTAATAAAAGATGTCTCATAACCAGTACTTTCTATCCTAATTAAACCAAACATAAAGATTAATATTTCATGTTGAGTTCAATACAACTAACTTGTACGATCTAATTGATAAAACCATCCAATGTTTTTTCTTTTTATAAAAATATTACTTATAATCATTGTATTTTATTATGATAAGGGTGAAGGGAGTGACAACACTCATAACACATTGTCATGTAGTTTTTTTTTTCAACACATAGGTTTTTTATAGCATGTTTACATTGAAAAATATAGGGAGTGGTAGTGGGTGATTTTAATATATTTTATTTTGAAATGAAAATATAGAAAAAAAGAAAAAAATATATCAAGAGCCAATCACAACCCAAGATCCACCCTTCTGTCTTTTATCTCTTCTAGCTACACTTGTGACCTCCTTGACGCGAGCCAATGGACGGAGTGCGGCCCTTCTAGCGAGCCTTGGCGAGGCATCCTAGTGAGCCCCTTCCTTATGCCTAATAACATGACATTACGTCTATTAAAATCATTAAAATCTAAGCCCGATCTTTTAAAAAGCAAAAGAATTTCTCAAGACAAACAAAACGATTGATTTATGTCAATGGGCCAAAACCTAGTTAACATGTGTAAAGTAATCATATTCAATACCTAATTAACAATATGTAAAGTAATCAAATTCAAGACCTCTATGTATTTTGAAGATTGTCAATAGATTATTAATAATAGAAAAATAGCAAGATGTTGAAGACAATGGTCATAAAATACAGTTAAACAACAAAGAGCTAAATACTTGTGTTCAATATATCCAAAAACCGAAAAACCTTGTCGATATTTAGGCTAACTAAACAAAATTTATTGACATTTTTGGTTTAGTCAACCGGACCGCTAAAATCTTCGGTTTTTCGATTCGGTTACGGTTCATGTTGTTTTTCCATGGACGGTTAACCGAAAAACCGAATTTTTATTGCCTTAATAATTTATTCAAATAAGAAGTACAATTTGCAACATAATAACATATTACTTATTCACTATAGCATGTGCAAATTACAACAAAATTTAAATTCAAAAAAAAAATGACTTTATTAATTTATTAGACCAATTAGACCAATAACACATAAATCTTTACTTGTAACTAATGCTACAATTCAATTTAAACAACCATGTTTTTCTGATATTGCAATGTCTATCTAAAATTATGACAATTATCATAATAAATAATTAATTTTGATGGTCTTTGATTAAACCTTAAATTTGTATTCATCGTTTTAGGTTTTCTTAAAGAGTGTAGCGAATTGTTATCCTTGTTTTGAATATTACCTATTGAGTTTTTTAGTTTCAAAAAACATTTATTAATTCGCAGACGGTTAATAGGTTAGCGAAACAACCTAACCGGAAAAATTAGTTAAACGAAAATTGTTAAGTCTTTCAGTTTACGTTTAGGCTTAAGAAGTTAACGAAATGATCTTTTCGGTTAACTTTTCGAAACATGATTTCGGTTCGGTTAGCCATCCATGAACACCCCTGCAACTAATCTAATTCGCCCAATCTAACAAAACCAAATTGTCAACACATGAATTCGCCACAATATAAAATTACTATTTTTCGTAAATGGCTCTAAATGACTGACAAATGGATGTCGTTGAAAGCTCCATCATAAAGAAAATAATAGACAACAAACATTTTCTGTAGTAAATTTACAACAAACGTATTATATATATATATATATATATATATATATATATATATATATATATATACACACACACACACACACACACACACACACACAAACACACATCCAGTTGGGACTAGAAAACGGAATCCTTAGCTGCAAATGACTTCTCCAAATACCACAAGCTTTCTTCTTCACCAATGATCTTTCAAAACACCAAGATGAATAAGAAATATACTTGTTTAGAACCTAGAGATCTCTTTGCTTGAGATTAAGTTTTTTTCCACATTTGATTGGATGTAAGGAACCAAACTAGAATCCCACTAATAGTATCACACCCAAGAACATCAAAATAGCAAAACAACAAAACCCTAGCAGAGGCGAGAGGAAAAACGAAAACATAAACCCTTAAAGGGTTGAATTTTGTCAATCCTTAAGGAGTAGCAAGGAGGAACAAAATTTATTGGGTTATGAGCATCTAGGGTTTGATTCCTAGATCCTTATTTAT